TCATCCAAAATGGCCTCAAATGCAACATTTGAAAATGTTAGAGGTAACGACTGCAACAGATGAAAGGTCTGGGAAAAATCAGCTAATGTTTCAAAGGTTTGGAACATTTGCTTATCCCTAAAAATTATTATATCCTTATAATTGAATTATATATTTTCCTTTTCGGATATCACATGATATACTTTTCATAATTTTTTCGTTTAGATAAAATAATTTTAGTTAATTCTTCAAATTGTACTTCATTTTGAAGTTCATAGCCTTCGCGATAGTTTTATCGATATTGCTTACCAAAAGGTATCCTGAGCAATTGCAATAATCGAGTTTATTGATATTCTTGATATAATAAATGCTATCACATACCATCATACTCAATTCAATGAAATTGTTTGATCTTAAGTTTTTCAATAATTTTGCACGTGAGGGGTATGATTTATTTCGAATACAATTGATAAATAATTAACAATAAACATAGATAAATTAATAAAACTAGTTGAAAATTTAATAACTATTGCACATATTGTTATAAAATTCATAAAATAATTAAACATACATTTTTTCAAAAACATTTGACAAATAATTTACATATCAGCATAAATAAATATTTTACAATAATTTAATAAAGCAAGTTGAAAAATTATTCAATATTATATGTTGCTTGATATATCAGCATTGGCTCTAATTTTTGGTAAATATACTCCTTATATCATACGATATCGAGTTTAGAATATTAAACTATATTACCAAAATTCTTAAGTAAAAAAGTTGGCATCAAAGGTTTAAAGTATAGGATTTTTTAGGTCATCTTTTTAATAAATATATTAATCAGTTATAGCTTGTGCACTTTTTAAAAGGAAAATCAATAAAGTAAAAATATCGGCACCAAAAGTTTAAAGTATAGATTTTTTAGTAAATATATTAATAAGTTTTAGTTTGTGCATTTTTCAATATTTCTGTGAATAAATAACTCTATAAAAAGACAAAAAATAAACTTTAAAATTTTTTAAAAAATTATATGTCTAGATTAAAAAATTATATATATATATATATATATATATATATATATATATATATAACTGATTTTCTAATAACTTGTGCTTAACTTAACTTATGCTAAGCACTTAGGTGATATAGCACAATTTACATATAAGTATTAAGTAAGAGAAAATTGCAAAATGAAAAATTGGGAGAGATTATTGGAATTTTTGAGAAATGAAAGAGGTGTCCATAATTGTTATAAAACCTTCATGTAATTTGCTCTTCAAAAAATTCTCATCTCTAAATTCTGAGAGTTCAGGATTTATCATCATCCATATAGTTTTTGTTGGCTGATATTTTACCATTAGATTAGTCAAGTAGTCAATTTTCTTGTTAACGAGCTCTTGTTTATAAGAGTAATTCGCTATCATCTCATTAAGAATGATCGAATGAATGTTGGAGCTCATTTTATGCTAAACACAAACGACGTGTATTCAATAATGAATTGATATGTCATGTCATCAATACTTAGCATAAAATGAGCACCGGTGCTCATCAGATCATTTCACATCATTTTAATAAGAGGTTTTAGAAGATAAAGATGAAAGATAAATCAAAATTAATACTATCGGTTATGATCTTTCAAAATATACTAACTAAATTTAATTTCTTTTTATTATATACAATCTAAATATCCTTTATCTATACTCTAGTAAAAAGTAACTCAAACTGATAAACTTTCTAAAAGTAAGTAACATAAAGTTAAATATATTTTTTTATAAATATGATCAAATATGCATTCATTATATAAATAATACAGAGTTCTTTCAATCAACATCAAACGACATTTCACTTTGAACTTTATCATGTTCAGATATCGTGCGATTTGATGATTATTCACCTTTTTCAATTTTATGAATTTCATTTCTCATTTTTTTGGAGTGAAACACTTCGAACAAACAAAGGAAATAATCCAAAAATAGGATATTTATTTATGACATTAGGAAGGAAATTTGACCAAAAATAAAAATGAAAATTAAGAAAGTATGACCACTAGACTTTACATGACGAACTCCACCGTTCATAATGCACTTTGGATTCACACTCTCCACTTGCAAGGATTCCCCGCCCCACTGCGATCAGTGTCTTCCTTTTTTATGGCTTTATTCTTCTTATTTTCAACTTTCTAACTTATGATTTTATACAAAATATTAAAGAATGTAGACAAATAAATTTACTTAGAACGTGATTGGATCCATCTGAAAAAAGTCAAAATTATATATATATATATATATACACACACACACACAAAGACTCGCGAAATACATAGGGAATTTGCTCCTGTAACAGGGGGTGGGGCCCGCAAATAAAAAAAAAAAGACCTCCCCCCATTTGTGGGGTTCGATCTGGGGGCGGTCAACTGCCCTGTTACTGTAGCAGCTCCCAATATATAAATCATGAGCAAAGATTCCAGCATATGCTGTCGGCCCGACCTCTGCATTTTAAATATTATTATTTTGTAATCATAAGACAAGTTTAGAGTTTTCATGATCCTACCAAATAGAAATAAAATTATATAAAAGGATTGAGATATTTTGCTGTTTAAAAGACCACAAAGAATAATTAATTATATTTTGGGGAAAAAAAATATAAAAGAATAAATATTTGGTGTAGCGTCTAAGTGTCTCTCAGTCCACACAAATAGTAGGCCTTTCCCCTCCTTGTAGCAATGCAACAAGAAAATATGCCCTCGGGACATAGTCCAGTGGTGCAAAGGAAAGGAGTGAGGTTATCTCATGCCTTGTTGGCAGCCGCAATGTGGGGGTTCGATTCCTGAGACATGAAATTGGACTCTTTGTAGGCGCAGTGTACATGCAGCTCTTGTTCTCTGGACTGTTGGGGCACATCCAGCGATTTACCTCCCTCACAAAGCTCTAGGACGAAGCGGTGGGGATCCTCAAGGTTGAGGTTCAACTTTAACAAGAAAATATTACTTTTACTAACTATTCGACTTCTTCAAAGGCCACCTGGAAAATAAATTAATGCCTCGTGTTCGTGGAGATTAAATCATATTTTTGATAGATTTTAATAAAAGTCAATGAAATGTGTGATTGAAAGTTGTGACTCTCATGAAATGTATAGTTAAAATTAATTATTGTCTTTGATTGAAATTTAAAATTGTTTGGTATAGTAAAGTAGACCTAGTTTGGGCCCAATCTATTGATATAGGATTTTCAAAAGGTGCACTTAGGTTCCATTTATTAATTTCTTTTTCTTTTTCTTTTTTTTTTAATAAAATAAGTCCACATACTTCAATTAACAATATGTTCTCGGTAAAGAAGAGGGGACCGAAGTGAACTATAGACTAGGATGAGACTAGACACGAGCGGAATAGGTAAGATGAGGGGACTAGAAGAGGAGCAAAAGGTCGGATAGAAGTCCTTTTCTTTACAGAAAACGAGTGGAGAAATTTTCAGATTACTCACAATACTCTTTAAAGAGCGTGAACCTCTTTATATTTTATAAGCTCATCTCAGATGAAAAAATAACGTAGATGATCATTGTTGTCTAATGAAGTTTGAATACATCTCTAAACATAGATCCATTACTAAAAATTTCTTCATTTTTAGGTGCAGGTTATAAGAATATTTTTGCCGTTCATCCCAACGTTACCTAACAGGGAGTCCAACCTAGATTTGCTCAAAAGTCATAGTACATCACGACTTCATTGAACAAATTTATATAAACCTTCAACATCACCTGAACTTGTGCTAGATAACATTATCCTTAAAGCCAACATGTTCTCTTTTGCCAAGCGATTTTAAGAATAGGGGTCTCTAACTCTGGTTATCATCCATCCATATTACTACCGATACTTTTAACTAAATCCAAACTTATTTAATTATCAACTATTGAATTTAAAACTTATTAATCTGCACTAACCCGAATCAGTGTTGTGTATATTAATAAGCAGTAAGCGCTTTTACGAACAAAATTCGATAATTGTATTTTAAGCAACAGATCCGATTGTGCCTCTCGCATCATAAAGACCATATGAATGTCGACATCAGGCCAGGACAAATGAATCAAGTAATATGCCTAACAAATTGCACTTCTACAATAAATATAAAGAAATCTTGTCTTCTTCCTGATAAATCTTGAAAAATATCAGCAGATCAGATGAGTCAAGGCACAAAATACTTATTCCCCATTGGTTCTTTATTGATCGAGATTCCAACCAGTAAGAAAACACCAATAAAAGTTAACAAAAATCATTGAACGATCAGCAATTTCGGAGCCTTATTGTTCATTTTCTTGTTCAAATCCACATCAGTTGGTCATATTCGCTGTCGTACAAGGTAGAACTTAATAAGCAGAACAAGAAAAAAAATTAATATTTTTTCATTTAAGAAAGCGGGAGTTAATAAAACGCAGAAAAATGAAAACCTCAAGGCTAGCCGTGTTAACATCAGATTCCAAAACTTAAGAAGCAGCGAAGGTTCTAGAAAGAAAGAACAGAGAAAGGAGAGCTGGGATTTAAAAATAGTATTGGAGAAATTGCATTGTGGAAAACGTGTTGGTGAGAACAATGATGAAGAAGATATACAATTCATTTTGGCTTTGATTTTACCATTTTCAGAGATTTTCCGTGTTATTCAGAAGTCACTCTTGGGTTGTATAGAGAGGAGCCGTAGCTCAGCAAATTCCCAGTAGGCTTATCCACAAAGTTGACGTTTATTTTTTATTTTTCATGTTCTTCATTTGTCCAGAAGTCTACAATTTTAAAACATATTTGCCAAGCATTTGATTTCACGAGAAACTATCTTAAGAAGCTGACGGAACAAGTTAAAAAAAAAAAAAGAGGATCATGATTTTTTAACTCGATTCTTCGAGTTCTAACGATAGGACAATTCGATTCTCTGTCCCTGTAAAATTGAATAGCACTAAACAACACTACTAAAGAAGAAAAAGAAATTAAAACCCTGTTCCATTCAAGCACAGTATCCCACAGAACATGCTAGTGATAAAAGAACAATTATAAAAATAATATTACTACAAAGTTCAAGAAAAAGTCTTACAGGACGAATACATATATAGTACACAGCATCACAATAAAAGGCTACAAACCTAAGTGATGGAAGAGATACCTTGTTATCACTGAGATTCAAATCCAAGGGTCATCTCTTTACATGGGCAATGGCTAATTGACTAAAATGCATTACATTCTTTCATTACATAGTTTTTGTACAGCTATCCTAATATCAAGATTAAACTCTACCAGCATTTCCAATTCTAGGTAGGTAAGGGATGAGACAACTTCGTACGCACTGATCATTCTATGTTATGACCTCATTTGTTTCTACTTCACATCTCGGCTCAGCAATCTTCAGTTCCACTAAATTGTCCTCTTTGCAGCCATCGGCATTAGCATCCTTGTCATCAGCATTGCAGGATTTGTCAACAACATTAGCATCACTGAGGTCATAGTGGGGATTGTTCTTCTCATCATCTTCATTGACGCGATCAATGTTATTTTCTTTTTCTTGAATTGTAAGCATTAGGTGCTTGTTATCGTTCGAGCAGTCATCTTTCAGAATGTTAGTGGCTGGTGTTGTACCTCCTAAATCATGGATCTCCTCTTCCACTACACTAAGTTTGACGTTGGTAAGAACTTTATGACATGAAGTACAAGAATTGTCGGATTTGGTTTTCTTGACAATAGCTGGTGACGCCAAAAGCTTGGCATCTATGCTTGTTGCAGATATGAGAGAGAGAATGTTAGATTTCGGCTTAACATCCACCCATCGTTCACCAATCCAATCCCTAGAAACTCTAAGGCTATTTTTCTCTATGTTCAAAAATAAATCCTCACCTGATTCACCCAAATGGGAAAAGAAATAGAAAAGATAACATCAGAAACACCATGCGGTATAGACAAACAATTTTTTCTTCTCTCCTATATTGCACGGTGTGTTTGTACGTGTGTATTTGGGGCAGTGGGACACAGAAAAGTAATCTAGATATCAGTTAGGGGGTAAAAAGAAAGAACCTGGAATATAAATTTGATGATTTCCATTTTTACAATCACAAGCGCCAGATATAACCCCTTCCCACCAACCATCACTCCACCAGGCATCAACTGGAGCTCCAACCTCAAAGATGCAACTCCCTTGATAACAAGGGCTGGCAGGCCTGATTGTTGGACGACCAGGATGTCTCATTCCCAGTTTATCAGCCCTGGCCAGTCTATATGCTGGAATCCATTCCTGCAAGTTAAAGAATACATCTAAATATTGTTACATTCAAGAGAGAATTTAATAAATTAAAAACTGGCCAGTTGTCTCTGTGATCGATAAAATGCTTCCACAATATGCAGATTTAGAGCATGTTTGGGCCAAGCCTAAAAATGAAGTAAACTTTCTTTCAAAGAGGTAGGTAAGTTGATGCTTTCAAAAAGCCAATTTTTATACTAACAGTCTAAAAACGAAGAGACTTTCAAAGAGAAGACAAATATGTTCGGCAAAAATGATTACTTACAACTAACTTCTACGTATATGTTTAACTAAGCATAGAAGCTACTTTTAAGCAACTTTAATTCTAATTTTGGCTTAACCATACATGATCTTACAAAACATATATTAAGTGAATGTTAACCAGCAAGCTAAATGACACATTTCATCTGTTACCAAGCATGTTTGGTGGTTGGAACCTCCTCATTATCAAGTTGAAATTTTTATCTTGGAAAACCATAATCAGATGCCACAGGTAACCTCCAGACAAAACTATTGGTACTTCAGTTAATTGAACAGATTCCAAATTGAGACCAAAGAACATTTTGAAGGAAAATTTTCTAACTAATTCATGCAAAAAGGAAGGGGGAGAATTTGGTAACACTTTCGAACAGAGAAGGGTATATTTGTCAAAGAAAAGGTAAAAAAAATGCCTATTATTTACAAACCCAAAACTAGCGGATAGAATTCATTTTCTCACTCTTAAAGTTTGAAAGTGTCCTAGTGAGGAAAGTTCCTCAAATCTTAATCCACAATAGGTGTACACTCCAAGTCCTAAGTAATTAATTTAAGCCTAGATTATAGTTTCAAAAGACTAGTGAATTCAACCACGATTCATCTATACTTTATAAAGCCTGTGGTGGGATATAGGTGGCCAATACCTATTTTGACGTAATTTAAGGAGATATAGGCGCCTACTCATACCTCAAGATTGCTGCAACTATCTTCATCTTTTACATCATCATATTGAATTTTCATCTGCTTCCCAGAAAACTCTAAAACTGTGCACCTGAACCAGCAACCTCGAATACCACTATCTTGGCAAAGAAACTCTATTTTGTCATTGACCTTAAAAGTTGGAGAATGCCAAATGTGGCCTTCGACAAGAAAATTTGATTTCCTACCCAGCAGACCATACTTCAATTTCTTGTATGATAGTTCATGTGCTGCCTTCTGATGCTCTCTGCATGTTCTGCCCCTTTTAGCTCCCACTTTAACATCATCTTCAGAGCTGAACTCTTCGTCCTCGAAAAAATCAAGACTAAAACACGAGAAGAAGGGTTGATCGAAGTATCCAATCAACTTACTTAGCTTGAAAGGCTTTACTCTACTGCTCTTGAATTGTCTGAAGCAAAAATGTACTTTTCCTACCAAATCCTGGGGAAAAACAGCCAAGCATTTCTCGTAATGTTCACGAGTTAAGACTATTGCTGGACCATCAACACATTCTGCACTAATTACTTGTACATATGGCGTGAAGAAAACTTCTTTAGGATGAGGATTTCGTAAAGAAACAGTGCCCCTGACTTCTCTATTATGGTGAAACCATCTCACTTTGACCTTTTTCTGGCACTTTCTATCTTCATACATATCTTCCAAATATGCTATATAACGGTTATCTTTCTCAGCCATTACAAAGACAAATGAGTGTACCTGAAAAGAGAAGGGTGAGAAAATAAAAACAGAAATTGAAAGAAAGTTTATGATTCACAAAGCCATCATCATTGATTATTAAAAGACAAAAAGGGTAAAATACAACTTTATATGGAAAATATACCAGGGAAATAACATTTAAACGTGGCGAAAGAAAATTTACAGAGACAAAGATGGAAAATAATTTAAAGCTTGCATCTTTATATTCATATCTCAATTTAAGAACGAGAAGCACTTGTGCTCAGTTCGAAGCCTACACAGATGGAGAGACGTCTCCACCACTTGAACAACAATGGAAGTGAAGATAATTCAAAATTAATGAGTGTTTAAGGACAGATGTAAATGCAAGACTTAAAAGGGGAGGCCATTTCAACCATATATTTGCACAGAGCTTATTCTACATATCCCATTTCCTCTTGCAACTAGATCTTTTCCTCAGCAAGTGGAAAGAACCAACAAGGACAAAGACGCAATTTTTAGAAAAAGCACTGACATGACATGTCTCTAACACATTGATTAAAATAGCATTAAATCTATTTATTTATTTTGTAATTTTGTAGTGTAAAACAGATCAAACATTGTATACTTGTTGCATCAATATTTTTTATTTTTTTGCTCCATCAAACTATTAATTTTATATTTTGGAAATTTTATATTTTGGAAAGACAGGTGTGTTCTTCCAATTCTAATTGAAGTCGTAAGTCTGTAATTTGATGGTGGAAAAGTTCCTGATTTTGACAAGAGGCCAAATCCTTTATGGATAAAAAGGCCAATTGCTTTATTCATTGCTTAATAAGGCACGCATTATTCAATGGAGTCCAATTGGTTTATTCAATGTAAAAGCTCAATTTTGTTAATGGATAAAAAGCTCAATGGTTATTCAATGGGTAACAACACTGATTTTTTTCCAAATTTGACAAGAATTTTAACAAGGAAAAAACGTGTCTTGCTGTCAAAAATAAAAGAAAGCTAGGGTTTGACAAATTAAAAGAAAACAAAGGTTTCAATTTTTTATTTTTTATTTTTCCTTGCGCTGATGGTAATAAAAGAGACCATGACATCCAGAAAGGTGGCGGATTGCTATTCACAACGTTGATGAAACAAAGCTAAGGTTTCAAAAATGGAGAATGTAAGATAAACTTAATTAGTTCTCCTTTTTCTTTAATTACTTTTAAACAGTCACAGCATGTATCCGCGGCCTTAAAAAATGGACATGCCACCTAGTGTACGAATGTATCAAACGGAACCCGAAGCATGTTCATGTGTCCTAGCTAAGCAATGATTGACATCAGAAAAACCCTTGTGTTACATTTTAATGCATGCACTGTTTGAAGACCCCTTAAGTACTGATAGATTAGTAGAAGCATACCGGTATCGTAATCCCATTCCTGTAAAATCCTGGGTAGTGCTTGAGCTGTTTACCACATGTCCATGCTACACCCGACCATGCTATCTCTAAATTATGAGCTTCCAAATTCCTTGCTACACGGCCCTTTTGAGCTGGCATATGGGTGTGTCGAGCATTGATTTTGGGAGCAGAATTCTCTTTTGGAGACCCTGTCCATTCAGAAGGAATGAAAGATAATAAGATGTTAAATTGTCAACTGATTTATCATTAACATTTCTTCACATATATAACATGCCAAATTTTACAGCACCATGGTTTTTGGCTGGCATTTAAAGGGGAGTGGAAAATATCAAGAGTTTATACTTCGAAACTATTTTTTTAACCCAAATGCAAAGATATAATTAGATGAATAGAAAAACTTTTCAATGAATAGATGATCAGGATTATCAGCTACGACAATGCATATACTCAAATTCAAGAAATATACTATATACCCAAAAATCGAATTTATGTGCGCAAGGTATGAAGTCAAACAGGAATCAGATATTGTATTCTGAATTTTGCAATAAGGATACTAAACAGACATTAAAACCATAAAAAATGGGTCAGAACAGTGTTAACAAATCATGAATTTTTCCAAGTTTTAAGGTGAGCAATAAATAAGGACAAGATCATAATTATGTATTTTCTAATCTAGTTGTACCCCTGAATGCTGTTAAAGAAGGAAATCATCTAGCATGAGATGCCATAACAACAAGCAGATGCTGACCTAACATCCTAATTATTACACAAACTGAATAATATTTTTCTTGACATCATATAAGGTATGTCTATTTTCTCTACAGAGTAACAGCAACAACAAAACTAAAATAGAATACTGTTAGAGAATGTTAGAGAAAAAGGAAAAAATATAAACAGAGCAGAGGTCAATTTCCCCCCAACTCTTTGAGATCCCAACTTCTCTTTATCACAAGTATAGGTTTCTCATAGTGGTAATAATTCCACTCTATGTATACTTTAATATGTACTCCAATGTTAACATTATGGTACAAAATAGCCGGAAGCATTATACAGTGCACTTAACTTTAGAACAAAAGGACCCAAATAAGTAGAACAGAGAAAAGAAATATATAAACTTTAGTCCATGAAATTATCATAAGTGAAACTCCATCAGATACAGACCCACCGATCTCCATATAAGCACAACCAGAAAAATCACCTTCTATTTTTATATTCCTAAGTATTCTATATTAATAATTCAAGGTTACCCCCGATTGGAACCCAACACCCTTTAATGGAAACACAAGGGCCAACTAAATCATCCAAGCTTCAAATTGATCAACAATGCAAGAAAGATTGCAATTGGGATACTCATTGTGGAAGGTGAAACTGCAATGAGACTATTTAGAACATAAAATCAAGTAGTTACAGTCACAGATAACTATTTTGAAAAGAAAAAGAAATGGTTCCTAGAAGAAATTGTCAAACCCAAGTAAGGTTCAGAAATGATTATCATAGCAACTTCGTTTTTATCATTAACGGATCACAAATCAAGCAAAATACTCAACTAATTCAACCTTCATTTTTCCCATTAAATTCATAACGGAAAAGTAAGAGGTGTGCTCCTTTCCAAAATTGAGACTTGAAGAAGTAAAAATTCACAACAATTGCAAGAAACACAAGTTTTATGGCTAAAAGACAATAAAAGAAGTAAACCCTCCAATCTTCCACGACATTCACCACAGTCAAAACATTTGAATCACCACCAGTAGAAGCACTTTTATAATTCAACACTGTAAAAAGACGAGGAAACAGGAAACATACCTGGGTAATCGGCTTGCATATGCTGCTTTGACAGCATAGAAGTGAGCCAGTTCACAACCTCTCTCCTTGATCTCCATCTAAAACCGGCGTGAACCGAGTTCTTGGCCCCATGGGCATTCAAGAACTCCTCAGAGACAACATAAAACATGTGTCTAACACTCCTCTCAGTTCCCACGACAGCAAGAATGGACTCCCCTGAATTATCCTTCAACAAGTAGTGGACCACACGATTGCCCTTCTCTTTTGACACATATTGCTCTTTCCATTCTACAAAGCAGTGCTCAGTTGCAGCCATATTTTGGAAATACAAAAGACCCTTGACTGGAATTAGCCTTGACAACCCATCAGAGACCCCAGAAAAAACCCTAATTTACAAACTTAAAGGTGTCCGCAAGACAATATTGCGAAAGGCTACCAGCTACAAAAACTAAAAACTAAATTAACTATAAAGCTACAATCTTGGGGGAAAAAAACCGTAATCTTGATGATCTCTTTGTTAATTTGACTACGCTCGGAGAACTTACAAAACTTCCAGCTCAAGTCCTATCAGATGGAGACTAGGCCATTGAACGAAGCTTAAGAGACCTATGATTATGAAGATCTGCTAAAATATCATCAAGTCAAGTCAAGGAGAAGAGCAAGAGACTGGAAACATCAATTTTCCAAGACTTCTGCTGACGAACATGAACCTTCGAGAAATCGAAATGGGCATCTATGGTAACATCAGGAAGTACAAAATCAAGCAAAAAAACAATGGGTTTTAAGTCATTTTCATAGTTGAAGAAGCCCGGTGATTATCGTGACATAGATATAGGTTCAAAAGGAGGCAAAAAGAAAAGGTTTCGATTGATTCTTAAGACTGCAAAAAGGTGAATCAACAAACAGAGAGAGTTTGAGACTTATGAGAAAAGATGGGTGCCAAAGGATAACAAAAAAAATGTAGGTAAACTGAGAGTTGCAGAGGCTAGAAACTACATTACCGCCGCAGAAGACGGAGTGGGGAGGTGAGGGTAGGAAAGAAAAATGGTTATAATTATCGGAATGATATTTTCCTTATGAGGGCAATTTGGGGGTGACGCTCTATGGGACCCAACATGACCCAAACAATATAGTAATTATCAAATTGGATTATTTACTTGTTTGTTTGTTTATAGTGTGGTTGGGTGAGTAGGGGTTTGGATTGAGTAAGGTGATTATCAAGTGGTGGGGTCAATTTTAGACTTTTGAAGTGAATTCCATGGAGAGTGTTTATAAATATTTTTTTCAGTCAATTACTTTTTATTCATATATATTTCATAAAATTTGTAAGTGTTCATTATCTATTTTTATTTGTTTATAAACACTTTTCAATCAAATCAAATCTTTGGTGTTCCTACTTCGTTTAATTAAACTATGTAAAATAAACTTAGCCGTAAATTTGTTGACAACTTTAAATGAAATATGTAACTATATTTGATAGTTGAGGAATAAATAATCTACTTATATTTTTTATTTTTAAAATAATTTATATTTGACAAATTTATAATTTAAACCCGTTTGGCCCCCATTAATTTATACAATCTTGCTAGTGGTACACAACCGTGTACCTAATGGACACATGTCAGAACTCACAAGCGCCTCAGCCAATACCGAAACGCCGGGTGTACATTAGGTACACAATTGTGTACATTTAGCATAATTTTAATTTATATTTCTTTTTTCTTTTTTTTTATTTTCAATCACACAATTTTTTATAAAATAATATTATACGTAAATTGAAAATTTTTCCTTTTTTTTTAACAACTCATTTTTTTAAAAAAAAAAATTATTCCATTCATTTTCATTTCCACAAAATATGAGCCAAACAGGTTCTTATTTTCATTTGGCATCCACTTTTTTCAATTTGTTTATTACCTTTTATCTCTTTCTCCCTAGTCTTGACATGATTAAAATAGTTGAAAAACAGTGATTATTAACACAATTACTTCTTAAAAAACAATAAACAAAAAATAAATAAATAAATAAAATTGACATGATAATTTAGGTTAATATCCTCTATTTTATAGGAAAATTGCAACAGAAGTTCCTAACCTTTTCATTTTTTGTAGATTTTATTCTAATCTTCATTTTGTCCCAACGAAAGTTCCTAACTTTTCATAAATATGCACCTAAAGTCCATTAGGATGGAAACCATCTAAAACACCGTCAATTGACCAAAAAAATAAGGAATCAACATCCAATAAAACCGTCCAAAACACGATCCAAAAGCACCGTCCAAAAAGATATCAACATTCAATAAAACCGTCACGACAGCAAATGGTTCAAGAAATTTTCCCGTTCAACTGACAGTGTTTTGAATGATTTTCCATCCAAATGGATCTCGGGTGCATATTATGAAAGGTTACGAACTTTCGCTAACACAAAATGAAGGTTAACATAAAACCTGCAAAAAACAAAAACATTAGGGATCGCTGGTACAATTTTCCCCTATTTTACTGTCAACAAAATACACGGTTCACAAATATCCTTTCAAGCATCAAGAAGATGCCATAATTCTAAAGACGACCAAGGTAATACAATCTATCATCGAACTTCTTTCAAACAAACATCTGGCAGCGATAATATTAAGCCCACTGTTTATATTGCTATGCCTCTGACTTCCGGGATAATCCAACCTAGAATCATATTTGATGGAAAAATCATTAATCTGTGATTGACGTGGTTTCTTCAATCACTTGATATATACTTACAGTGAAATATAATTCAAAGCCATTAGATGAAGACCCCAACTCGTGGACGCTCGTGAAGGCAGACACCTATCTAACAAAAGCTAAACTTTCGTAGCTCCAATGCTACAGTGAACTGAATCACCTAAAGAGCAACATAGGTGCATCAGTAAAAGGAATCACAACGATCTATTAAAGCGTTCCAAGAAAATTGAATTTACCTCAAGTACCAAGATTGGGGGCCGGAGTAGCCAAAGGTGGGCCATAAGAATATCTCCACTCCTCACATGCCGCACATTTCTCTAACTTCACACTATTCTCCAATGTACAAAATTTGCATGACCAGATTACATTTCTCGAATTCCCATCTTTTGGTTTTTGGCTTCCACAGAGCTCACATATTGGAGCTAGTGGCTACAATATCAGCAAAACAGGTCATCAGCTCCATCAAATCGAGGTAAATTCTACATGACACAAATCTGGAAGTAGAGAGAGTGAAATCAAACTCATCATGATTGAGAGACTCAGACAAATTATGACAGTGATTTTGGAGGTCGTCCAGTGTCTTTCTAACTTCTAAGGGTGCTTCCCGGGTTCAGAAAGTGTGCACGAAAAAGAGTAGAAATTTCATAGAAAACTTTGTTTCCACAAATATAAGAACTGCCTTTCATATTGCAACAGAAGTTCATGTAAACAAGTCATAGCAATCTTGGAGTTCCACTTCTCAAAAGTAATGAAAAATGCATATTCCATGAATTCTAAATTATTCTCATGCTTCAGCATTATTTTTTTCATCAATTACAAATATTCAAACTATTTCTCTTAAATGAATTGATTGAAGAAATTATTTTATCTAATCTGAGAGGTTCCGTATCCAATGCTACTGCTACAGCAACTTAAAAGCAGAATTCAGATAGGTGAACTTTCACAAGAATCATAATAGTTGAAAAAGGAGAAAATTTTGCCTTGTAGACCTAAAGGGTAAAGAATACAAAAGAGATTATGAATAGACATTAAAAAAGTCACACTCACCGGGTTAAACAAAGTGCACATTGTACATTCCCACATTTTGAAACTATCCTTGTCAGGAACCAATCCCTGAATATAGATAGATTGAGGAGTGGAAGCTTCTTTGGATAAATTCACAGAATTATTACTTTCGGATGACTGCATCCATGACTTATCCATGCTACAAATATTATCGTCCAACATTTTATCGTGACAAGAGCTGGAACCACATTCTGAAGTAACCTTGGTCAAATCTATAAAAGTGGATTCTAGGTGACCATCCAACAACTGGGATGATGAAACATTGTCTGATTCACGACTTCTTTTTCGAGATAACACATTCATACCCTGTCCATCTAATCCCCTATGACCACTTGACTTTGCAAAGCTAAGTCCGGTATCTGAAGGCTTCAGCAAAGAATCGGTACTGTCATTCTCTTCAGATACATCATAAGACTCCGAGCCACACCAAATATTATCCTGTAATCTCCTTTCTGCAGCCATTGCAGCAGCTTGCATTGGGCTAAGCGCAGCTTTAATTGAACTATCTCCACCAACGCGTTTAGGGCCAGAAGGAAGCAGCAATCCAAGACGTGCTCGCTTTTCAGCTGCAGACAATGCAGTTTGGCGAAGAGACGAAAGAGGAGGCTTGGCCAAGAATCCTCCCAAACGCCTTCCAGGAACATCAAATCCCTCACCAGTACCACTTATTCCCTTATTCATGAGGTCTTCGCATTCCTAGGCATTTTCATAATCACGTTAAGTAAATACAAAATACAGATGGGTAACAAGCCAAAGATGAAAACAGAGCATGCTGGCAAAACTAGAAACTTGAACATCCAGGCTTTCTTGAAGAGCTTACATTCAGAAAATGAGAAGATAAGGAAGCAAGAAACAAAGACTAAAGCTATAATGATGTGAAATAGAAAATTTATCGTGATGGAATCAACAACTTTTCAATCATGGAAGCACGATTTTTTTTTTGGACAAATATTTTCCTACATTTCAGTTCCTGAAAAGGTAGATTACAAAAAATCTCATTCACTCATCTTCAGTTCCTATATTTTGATTGTTCTTTAGCATGATGCTTCTGTTCTAACTATAGCAGTAAAATGCACGGCATAAATTCTCAACATCTACAAGTTCAATTTGGCTTAATAAAAAATGCATAAATAACCTCTTACCTTTCTAATTTCATCCCAGAGCTTGTAGAAATTGGCATTGTGAGGGCCGTGAACATTGTGGCAGAGTTCGTGGAGCATTGTATCTAGAATCTCATTAAATGGGTAAAACTGATCATCTCTGTTTGGTCTCCTAAGCCTCAATTTTACATGTATACCTTTTCCTACATTCAGACCAAGGAGAGCCGAGTTTTTGGGACTGCAAGGTTATATTTTGTTACTATCCACATTAATAGTAACAAATTACCAAGCAAAATCACATTTTTGAGGAGAAATCTCAATTTCCACTTTTCTTTTCTAAAGGATTCAAAAAAGAATTACAGATGTCAATAAAATCTACTCAAACAATAAAAATTTAAAGAGAAGAGGTAAAAAATAATAATAATAATAATAATAATAATAATAATACCAGAACTCGGAGAGAACTTTGACTCTCCAATTGTGTTTACGCATAATTGGTTGAACCTGTTTGGCGACTCTCTCCAGAATCTTTCGAGCTTCTTCTTCATTTGGCTTTCGCTTCAGGGCCTTGATTTCCCATATCTTATTCAGATCCCCCAAATTCATTGTTTCCAACCCAACCCCAAATCTGGTAAACAGAAGTCAGTGTATATAGAATTGTGATCAGACACTATAATGATGAAGAAGAAGAACGAATCGAGTACTTAAATTTTGGTCAAAATGGATTCAAATTGCAGGGCTTCTTGTACAAGGTAACTGGGCGGGAATTTGAAACTCCGTCGCCTCGCTTTGGCATGGTTATTCCTTCGTTAGGTCGCTCCACGTCAATTTGCGGAATTATCATTTTAATCCATTAAACTTGGCTAAAATATAAGTTGGACCCTGAAGTTTTGATCAAAATAATTTTAGTATTGATATAAGCGTGGGTCCTCCATTCTATTAGGCTTTACAGCAATTGTTACAGAATTGCAAACCAATCGACATCACCTAGAGTTCGACCTAAGAGTAAGCCATGGACGAGATTAGTGACGGGTTCTTCATTTTATTAAACTTTAGAGTTATGAATGCTGCGTGTAAGAATGGTTGAATAACATAGCTCATAATTTGATTCAATTGTACAATGCTAGCTCAATCAAAATCAAAAAATGCGATTATATACAATTGACAAATGTCGTGCAATATTGATGTGTTTATGCAATAAATTGCAAGTACCATCCAAATACGCCAACTAGGGAACTCCAAAATTCTAATTAAGTTTGTTAAAAAAACTGAATCCGCCTCCAATACAAAAATCAATCACTAAGATAATGGAATTCACATATTTACCCCTAAAATACTCTTCTAAATTAAGTACCGAATGTGCACGACCATCACCTCCCATCTCGACCACTTTATGGGACTACCTGAGCAGCTCATTCTACATGTTTTGAAGATCCCACGTTCTATGAAGTTGGTGCGATGCTGATCCAGTTTTTTCCAAGGAATAGCACTGCCTAAGGACTAGACGCTCAAGGAGGGGGAAGTGGATTCTATCCGCTCTCCAATGCTCCAGTTCGATTTCTTCTTCAGTTGAAGAAATTCTTCTTCACTTGGTTCCCACTCAAGACCATGGAAGGCAAAATGTTTGATTTTGAGCACTTGAAGATTGGGCAATGTACCAACAAGTCATATCTCCCCAAGGAAGCTATCATCCTTTTAAACTCTTTGAGCATGGAGGGAAACTGAAATTCTCCGGAAAGAAGAGGACTCCCCCATCCAAGAGGAACTTTAACGCTTCAAGCTTATGTAGACGAGCAAGATTGTTGAGACAGTAGCTTCGCCAATCCAATGGTGCTTTCTTATAATATACACCCGTTGCTGACATAAGAAAGAAACCTTCTACCCTTCAGCCTCTATGCACATGTCCCTTAAAAGATCATGGATCTTGCATCTTTTTATTCTCACTAGAGTTCTTCTCAGAAATCAAAATATGAATTCTTTCGATAAGATCCAATGGACATTCATCAGCCACAACTTCCAAGCTTTTAGACATCACTAGTTTTACAAATCCCTCAGCAACCCATAACTTCACAAGTATGGATACATGGATACTCAAATCTTCTGGAAAAAGCTCCTCCCATGTAGAGGAAGCACCCTTTTAAATGATGAGGGAAATTGTTACAGCTCGAACAGTAAACTGTAACTTAAATTCATACACCAGAAGAAATAGGTCGACCCTAGCAGCAGAACAGTTGTATTTAACATTGATCAAAGGGAAGATTCGTAAGCAAGCACAATACAGGTTAAAAGAAAGAATAAAAAATTGTTGGAACATATAATGCAATCAGAGGAATTTTGGGATAGTGTAATAGCACTGTTCAACAGAGCTGAACATGACTGTCTAGCAATTCATTACATACTCCACCTGTTTTCATCCATAAATATTAAAAAATAGGTTCATAACTTCCACAAGCAGATTCCACATCTCTTAACGTTGCCAGAAACGACCGTGCTGCTTCTGCCCTTGCATGCGCCTGTACCATTGAGGTATCAATTAGCAAAGCAGCTATCAGAAATGGAATGCGGGAACCAATGAACAGTCAGAAGATAAAAATCTAGTCTGACAATGTACTGTCGGTTATTTGATAGATAAGAGAACTGTTGTGAAAACGGAAAGCAGGAACCAATGAAAATGCAAAAAACGAAAATGTACTCAAGTAAACTGATATTCTACTGTAAAATATAGGATGGATGGAGAAGGTGTCTGGTCGAAGAAATGGAACACAAGAACTGACGAACAGGTAAAAATGGATAATATTCTACTCATGTCAATTGGCAATCCACTATAAAATATGCAATGGAGAAAATAACTGACTTTTGATACTCTTTAGATCGTTCAATGAACTCTTTGGAAATATCACGACCCTGGTATGAAGCTAGAACAGTTCGAATATCAGCTGGTCTGTGTTTAGCCACATCTGCAGTCAAACAAGTGGCCCACATTTAATCAGAAAGATTTGGCGTTAATTCTCATATGATCATCAATTAAATCCGGCTAGTCGCACAAATAATTTCATACAGAGAGGATGCTTACATTCAAGGAATGGAATAAGATCTAAAAGTGCTGTATCTTCTATTTCGCCTTGCCACGGTTTTATTTGAACAGAATTTTCTGGCTGAAGGCTACTTTCTAAAGCATGACTGCTAATGTAAATAACCTTAGCAGGATCCCTATTGAGCTTCGAAAGATCCTGATAGCAGGAAACACAAAAACATTGCAATAGACTATGACATTGCAGTATAAAGTTGAAATTTGGTATTGAAATGCTACGGTATGTATCTTTGTTGCTTCTTCATAATTAGACCTATTAACAAAATGAATTTATCTAGTAAGATTGCATCATCAAGAATATAGCATTTCATTGTGGGAAATTGAAGTGGAAGGAACGTAGAAGTTGAGTGAAGTGATGCCAAAAGAATCACGTTAGCTAGCAGCACAAATACAATTCATATAGAAGAGTTCAATATATCTATAACCATGTATGATATAATTATCCTTCCCTCACAAAGCGGCGACCTTTATTGCATAGCCACTTTAGTCGTAATATCCCGAATTTTTTACTGCTAGTCGTTAGATTAAAAATTAGGACTTAAGTGTGCTATTATTAAAGTCTAATGACCTTATTGATTACTAGCCAATAGTTTAAGGGCCTAAATGAACAGTTAATTTGGAAGTTAAATGAAATTATATGTAAATATGTCAATTAGCCATGATTAAAGATTATTTATTTGACCACATGGATTATTCATCACATCTTAAGCAAAGTAATTGCTTTGGCCACATAAACTAAGGTAATTGATTTGACCAAATACATTATTTACATCAAAATTCAAGCCAAGTCAATTTATTTAATCATATAATTAAAGGAATTGATTTGACAACTTTAAAGACAATGCACCGATCATGCTTTGATCATGCTTAACATCTGGTCATTTCCTTTCAATATTTTGCAAATGATCCAACTTGCACAATAAATAGGAGTTAAACTCAACATTGGACTATCTCTCACCAATTATTTACAATTTTCCTTCTCTATCTCTATTACTTTGTCTCTACACCTTAACTCTTTCTCGTCTTTTTCATATTAAATATATTCATATAGTTAGACAATCACACAACCCGACACGCGGCTCAAGGATCTCCCCCCAACAATCACTTTTTCTATCATTTTTGAATTGGTAAGTGAAAGGTAAGTGCAGTAGTACGATTTGTTCCTTCATTATTTAAATTACGAAAATTTATGTTATGAATATTAGGATATGAAAATTCTAACTATGATTATGATAAGGGTCCTATATGTGTAAGTTCAAAGGAACGGAATTTAGTAGCGCTACGCACGGGAATTATAACCACGAAGTTCGGATTTTAATTCTTGTGTCCCTATATGTATGTTATGATTTTCCGTAATTAAATATGAGATGCAAATTCGTTATTACTCATTTACTGAGATTTATATCTCACGTGTACATGTTAAATATTTTATAGGTAACTAAAAGAGGCAGATTTGAGGCGATCGAAAGTGGATTGTGCTTGCGTATATGAAAATGAAGAATGATTTAATTTCAAGTTAAAGATTTTAATGATGTTTATTTTTTATTTTTTTTATTTTAATCATTTCATGTTTAGAAAATATTATGTTTTTCATTGTTTATGAAAGTATTATTTTACGATACATGTATAATGATTCCAAAGATAAAAATTTGGGTCATTGCATTAGTCTTTTTTGTCTTGATCTGATTAGGAAAACAGAATATTGGCCAGGGCCAATTACAATTCCATAAGTTCATATCAAAAGAAGTCAAGTTTGATGGTAAAATATGCATGAAGTAAATTGCATTATAATTAAGTCATCATTTTTGCATTGCTCTTCAACTAAGACGATAGCATGTACGTTTTAAGACGATAGCATGTATGTTTTAATAACTGGAAATGGTGAAGTTCTCACGTCATGGTTAAATAAATTCAGCTAAGTGTCGAGTCAAAGTCTGAAATCTTGATACGGTCATAAAAACATGTATCTTTCTTCTTTTAAAAGAATACCTGCCCAAAAAAATAAATGGGTAAAGTGCCTGATCATCCACATAAAATACACAGAAAATTCAAGAGCCAAGAATTTACATATGAACAAAGTGGTGCAAATTGGCCTGCTAACAGCACGAACAAATATCTGAACAAAAAATTTCAATTCATTTGTAGTCATCCTTTTCTTATTAGTGACAGCATATTCAGCAAAGATACTGAAGCCATTTTGTTGGATGTTAATGTCACAAAAAGATACCATTAGCAAAAGATGATTATAATTTCATGATTTCCCGTCAAGAAAAGGCATGATGAGGGAGAAATATGCGCCTAGTCATAACTATTGCTCTCTAAGAAACTGGAGAATATGCATACCCTATAGTGCTTTCCATCAACATATCTTGTTGCGCCCCTTGAGAGCCTATACCGGATACAGTGTTTGGGATCCAACATATCAACAACGGGATCAACATACTGCCAATGCCACAGCAATATGTTTTGCAAATACTATATGTGAAAGGAAGTAAAGAAATCACAAAAGACAAAAATTTACCATATTCAGAAGGTCAGAATATACTACAATTTCATACAATTGAGCTAAATGCTCCAGAAATGCATCTACACCAGGTCTTTTGAATGTTCTCCACCCTCTGTCACGCTTTAAAAGAAGTAACAAGAAAAGGATGAGAAAAAAATAAGTGAATAACTATTATCAATTGACACTAAAGTTAATCTTCATACCAACATCCAAGTCTCAACCCAAACAACTAAAAATCAGAACAAAAGAAAAAGACACTCAGGTTTTGAACAGGGAGATATAGAGGGTGATGCTCCAGCATGGATTTCATATTATGTCAGTCTAAAGTCAAGGAAAAATGACAGCAGCAATAACACCAATTAGAAAGAAAAATAACAAAAAGTGGAACCAGACCTTCCAATCAGAGTATATCAACGTCTCGTTCAAATCAAGAACAAGGGTAAATACATGCTGCTCCAGAGGGTGCAAATCAGGTAGGAGCTTATCTGATGTTGGTTCAACAAAACCCTAAAACGAAGCAATAAGCCATCAAATATGTTTGGGAAAGGAATATGTAGCAAAAAAATGAGGCATACACTGAAACTTTGAAACTAGTGGAAAAGGAAAATGAAATAGTAAGTTACCCGAACTTGCTCTTCGGTTAACCTCCTTAGATCAATGTAAAGGTCAACTAACTTAGCAGGCACTGAAATATTGCAAAAAGGAATAAAAATGCAATTTCATTCATTGAGAAACAAAATTTGATCTTCGGCGAGTGATGTTATCAAACAATCCCACGCACTAAGAAATTGATAATTATTAATTTTTTTCATCCTGCTAGAAGAGTATCAAACAATGGTAACATAAAGGAGAAAGAGCACACCTGTCATTGCAGCAGAGCGTACGAAAGCTTGAAATTTCTGCATCAACAATTTGTAACAGAATTATAACTTCACCCTTCTTGAATAAAACACTGATAAAACTATGGGTATATGTGGTTCCAGGATGAAAATAATTTAAATGGCCTAGCAAGGCACGCGAGCAAACACTTAGTGGAAAGATAATTAGCACAAACTGACATAGTTAAATTTTTAGTTACCAACACTCATTAGTTACAAAATTATAACATAGTCCCACTGAAAACATTCTCATCAAGACAACACCTTCTCTTTTCATTATTACCTCTTAACTAAACATAAACATTCACTCACAAAAATTATTCAATAAAGCAAAATACAGAGATAATTAGCCCCTGTTTGGTGGCTATTATTTCCAAAAAAAAAAATGTTTTGAATAGTGATTTTTAGGAAAATGTGTGGTTAAAAAGTAAAAAAAAAAAAAATTTGGGGCCATTTGCAAAAAAATTTATTGTGTAAATGTGTAGTTGAAAATGAGTACGTGGAAAAAAGATTTTGAAAATAATGGTTGTCAAATAGAGGCTTAGTTAATTGGTGTAAATTATGTGAGGCATGCCTTGATTGTGCCTGAATTATCTACATTTGGCACCCTTCACCTTATAATTTTTATTCCTCCATTTTCCTCTTTTGCTGTTCTTCTTAGCCTTCCTAATAATCTCTTCAGCCTAGAAGGTTGTACTGTTTGCTCGCCATCTTTCAGATCTACATTGATTTAGGCATATGTCTTGTATTGACTCCCAATTACTTGTCCACACATTAGAACCATCACAATAGTCCTCCAACTATCACGTAATAATTGGCACACAAACTTCTCTTGCATATACTTAAATGGTTGATTAATTACCACAATTAAGCCCTTGTTTGAGCCCCATTCTTCTAAAAATTCATTTTTTTTCAAAAACTCATTTTCAACTACACATTCTTTAATAAAATAATATTACACATAAACCCAAAACTTTTCCTTAATTTTTAACCACACATTCTCCATCAATCTACTATTCAAAATGCATTCTTTCTCCAAAAATGGGGCTCAAACACACTCTTAAGTAAATTTCTAGATACACGCATGGGAAATATTAAAAATCCTTTATACATGTAAAATGCAAGTTCCAGTTAATTTCCTGTTCAAATATGACAATGTAACAAAGCAGCACAAAATGAACGGCATCCACATATTCACAAGAACAACACAGTTTCTAATTAAATAAAGATAATACTAGGGCAATTTGAGTTTTCCAAACCCACCCCCTCCTCATTCCCCTCCTCATTTTCAACATGAATATGTTGCTGAACTACATTCCATGCATTCACTTCTTTAGCAAAATATTGCTTACGTTGTACTGGAAGTCAAGAGGGAAAGAAAAATACAAAGAAGCTACAGATCAAAATTCTCAATCTAGCATGCTTCTTTAGCACCAGCTTCATATGTGGTACTTCTTGGAACATAAAATCTCTTTCTGGAAACTAGGAAAGCATAATTATTAAGTCCATAACTATATTAAGCTTGTGAAATTCATGTTAACTAATAGATGAAGACCAGTCCAAGATAAAGAGTGGTTTGAACTCACGTCAAGAGAAGAAGCATCATCCCCAACGGTGTAATTTGCAGAAGCACGAAAAGCCTTAGTCTTCTGATCAACTTCTTCTAAAGAGTATGCTGCCAATAATGACATGTCAGTCAATTGTTTGATAAAATGATGCACTAAGTATCAATTTCTATTACTCAAAAATCACTAAATACTTTTTGGCTCATATTAGACGACATAAGCCCTGCCCTTTACAGCAATGTTTTAGAAGCTCCTCATTCAAAACCAAAAGGCATACTTCCCATATTACTTTTGAGATTACAGTTGATAACTTAAATCATCCCTAACATGCTACATCCAGACTTTTGATATTTGTTTTCTAAGAATTGCTAAAAAATAAAAAATAAACACAGAATCACAAAACAAAAATCGTGAAGGAAGAAGTGTTAGGAACTCTAAACATTTTATTCTAACTGATAATACGTTTTCATCACAAAAGAAGAGAACACTTCTGTAAATGTATTTCATGAATGAAGCAACCATCTCTTCCAAAATAAATGAAAGAAACTGACTAAGAAGAATAAAGAAGGAATTGAATATCCCATGCAATTGTTATTGTGCCATGTAATCCCTAGTTACCATTCCATGGTAACTATGTATGAGGTCGAAACTAGCCAACGGATCAATTAAACTATCAAGTGCTGTGTAGACATTCATGAAAGGACACAATCTTTAATTCTTGCTTCCCAAATTCTACTTAGCTTAGCATTCTTTCTTATCGAGTGGTTAAAATTTATTCAAAACCTAGAAGACCGACAAAACATACTAAAATATATTCGAAATGCAGAGTGTAAACATCAAAGAACACTGCGAGTTACGAATTAAATTAAATTATTGTTCTTCAATTAAAAGATTATTGTTTTATTCTACTCCATCTCAGTAGTCATATCTCACAACGCAAAAAAGGTAAAGCTGAAAATCACAATCAACGTGTGGATAGATATTAACCGTAGGTAGCAGAGGCAGAGGCTGCAAAACCGCCAGCGAGGGCGGCTATGAGGCCGTACTTGAGAAAACTCCAGGACTTCTTCTCAGCTCCGGATTCCGGCAGCTGAGGCTCCGAAGTTTCCGGAGGTGGCGGAGGTTGATTAAGGATTGTGGAGGAGGAAAAAATTCGTTCTTTCTTAGGTTCCGAGGAAAATCTACGGCTGTTTCGAGAAAGTATTGAAAAAATTCGCGATTCAGATTGAACTAGAGCAGACATTATCGGTTATTCCCTGAACTAAATAAGATTTTACATACAATTATATATATGGAAGAGGGAGAAGTAGGGTTTTGCAGAGGTTTTTAAGTTTCTTTTTTTTTTTTTTTTTTTTTTCGGTTGGGGGG